ACAGAATTTATCGTTAAAAACACGGTCGCAGCTGCAGACTTTTAGAAAAGGTTACAAACGTGGATGCACACTGAGAGATCACACTTGACTTTCAGCAGCAGGATGCATGAATGATGTGGTTTAAGTGCAGTGCACGGACGGAGCACTGTAACAATGTGGTTAATTTCCTATACGCAATTAAGCTTTGACTACACAAAATATATATTTATGTATAAATAATCTCCCGCTCCTTCGAGTCTGCATTGAGCAGCTGATGCTCTGGTTTGTGCCTCAGGAAGCAGAGAAGCAGAAAATGAAGTATCTTGTGACGCTCTGTGCCTGAGCACGGTTTTATCTCTGTGTTTCTTCATCACATTCAAAGGTTGCCTGAATACGTGTGACACCGATGCACTGAGGATTTTTTTTTTTTCCTCCTCTCCGATGGATTAACCTCACGCTGGATGTTTTTGTTTTTTTTAGAAGATTTTCTCTCTCCTGCCGCTCGCACCTTCTGCAGCTCAGGTCTAAACTGTGAAGAATCGCTGCAGCTGCTCTTCAACCAGGTTTAATTCTCACTCGTCTCCTCCATCAACATAAATAAAGATATTTTCATTCCTCACATGTAAAGAACACGTGATGGGATTTGAATAAAACACTTTAACGTTTCTAAATCCCAGCCTGTGATGGTTTCATTATATTGAAACAATAAAACTTTAAATTACAGTAAAAATAAGAGTTTAATTATTTTAAATCTTAACTTTTGTGTTGCTATTAAAGTTATTAAAGTTATTGCTATTGAAGCCACGTTGTTTCTTCAACACACAGTGTGAAAACAAGAAACACCTTTTAAATAAGCATAGAAAAGGGAGAAACGGTCAGAACCATTTAAATAGCGACACAGAAGATGGAGAAGACTCATTCCGATGTTTTTTCATTCTACACAAGAGAAATCCTCACACAATCATTTCCCTCCACTTGAGGTGACAATCACTAAATGATAACGACTGTTCTCTCCATTCACCAACTCGATCTCCAGCCCGAAAACAAAATTATCTTTTTGATGAGACTTGATTTTTTTTAAACCAACGCCTCCTCAATCTTCCTCATTTTCTGAGCTTCTCCGAATGTTTCATCTGGACACCGACGTCCCTGCGTCTGCCAGCCCCCCCACCCCCCCCGGACAGAATGGACTCTGGTATTTGGCGTTCACCGATTGCGTGTAAACAAACATCTGATTGCGGAGGGCAGCGACAACAGCCCGCGATCGGGGAGCGAAACCCCCGGTGGACGGCGCCGGGCTTCACGGTTGTCCCTTTAGCGACGCACAGACGAAGGCAGAAAAGTAAATAAACAAGTGAAATGTCAGTGCTCGGTGTCTCGGAGGCTTTCGCTGCACTCGCTTTTGCATTTCAGCACAAACAGGCCTCTCTCCCCAACAGCTAAATTTGGCCAGCAAAGCCTTTTTCCCCCACTCGTGTGCCGGCAGAAGCTCCATTAGTTCCTCTGAGGCGGCACTTTACAGACAACTTCGCCACTTCTGCTCCTGCAGACACAACAAATTCCATTTCATGAAGATATGTATAATTCAGAATAAGTGCAGATTTTTATTTGTCCTTGGCCAGTTGTGGATGTGGTGCTTTTATGTGTCCAGTGACATGTAGTTTATTTATTTACACACACGCTGCCGTGCACCATGTTTCAGCCTCAGCGTGCTGCTGCTGCTGCTGCTGCTGCTGCTTCGCTGCGTTATGTTTATGGGTTTTTGTTTAGAAGCATTAAAAAGTTTAGTGCTGGTTTTCAGAACTTCACTGAAGCGTTCATTTGACCCGACATTCAAAACAAACACTAAATCATTTCTCAACTGCCATAAAAACTGAGCATGATGTAAAACGAGGACCGTAAACAACATGGACGTCCGTCGCGGCGCCGCCTCCACTCTCCCGGTCACGGAAGTTCACAGACTATTCTGCTTTCACTTGTCTGAGCAACTTTAAAAACATGCTGAAGAAACACGTTCACAAAGAAAACTGTGTGATGCACTTTATTTTTTTATATTTCCCGTCTGTTTAAACTTAAGTTAGCGTTGTCAAAACCACTGAATCATTCAAATGTATTAANCACACACACTCACACACATGTACAAGCATGGCTTTATGAGTAAAATGTCTGTTTCCTGTTTATATAGTCGCCTTCCTGTCTAATTAAAGGCGAAAGAAAGCCTGGACATGAGGGAGGTGTGTTTGTGTGTGTGTGTGTGTGTGTGTGTGTGTGCACGTGTGTGTATTTGTGTGTGTGTGCACGTGTGTGTGTGTGTGTGTGCTGATAAACAGAAAAGAGCTCATCTCTGCTCTCCATCTTTCAGCATGGAGGACTCCATCACTGAATTATTGATGAATCGAATGTGTGTTTGTGTGTGTGTGTGTGTGTGTTTGTGTGTGTGTGTGAGTGTGTGTGTGTGCGTTCTCCTCAGTCATGGAATCGGTGGAGGAAGCAGAAACACAACAACACTTAATGCATGTTATGTTTGAGTTAATGTATTTGCGGTGTTACAAAGAATTTTGCTTTTAATTAAAAATGTATTGAACATGAAATGAATGTGATCGTTGTTGGTTGTTTTTTGGAGTTTTCTTAAAAACGACACAATCCTTTCATAGAAGAAGACAAACAGAAATATCAGCACATTAAATATGAATGTGTTTGTTTTGCAGGGCACACACTGTAACAAATGTTTGATTGGATGGAAACGAGATTTAGTATTTTGCTCATGTGAACCACTGCATTCTCATTAAATACGAACCACGATTATCAAAACATAACAATTTACCCCTTTTTGAATAAGCTGTGTAAAGCGAGTTAAACAAACCTCCAATGGTTGTTTTTTTCATCTTGAAAGAATAGTTTCGGTTCCGACATTCTCCAGGTCTCAGTGTTTTTAAGTGCGATGCGGAGGTCGGCTGGACTTCGCCCGAGGTTCTTGAGGATTCAGCGTTTTCCAGCTCCACATGACTAATGAGGAGTTTAACCTCTTGTGCGCTCGTTAACACCTCGAGAGCTGTTGAGGTCACACGAGAGCGGATGACTCACTCGACAGATCGTTAGGATCGCGTGAGTCACGGCGTGAACGGGCGTGGAGGGAGGGAAGTCAAATCATCTTGATTGCCCCCTGGTGGCTGGCTGCAGTGTAGGTCACCTCCAATTTTTCTCCACGATGGTTTCTGTCGTTGTGGTTAGTTCTTCTAACACTGATTGTTTGTTCACGAACAAATCTGCTCTTTGGAAGGCGTTTTTAAACAATCGGTGTTTTAGCGACATGTGGACGAGCGGCTCAACCACAGAGGAAAACGTTAGTCGAGCTCTCTGTCTCTCCGCCAGACACACGAGACCTGTCGTCAGATCGTATATTTATAGCCCGCTCACTCGCTCCCAGCAGGCCCCAGCCTCGCCGCGATTGGCTGGCCGGTGCACACGGGCCTGCTCGATACGCTGCGCTTCCCATTATCTTCACTTTCCCGTCAGGAAGGGAGTCAGTCACAGCCAAAACAATTTGAGCACACACTTATGGGCAGATTATACACACACGCGCACATATATACAAGCCTGGCACTCACACACGGGGCACTCACCTCCTCCAGGAAAAGTGTAATGTGTTTATTAATGCTTTAGTTTCCCTTTTTCGTTGTCCTCCTAGAAATATTCAAACACTCACCGCACTGGACGTAATGATAGCACATAGAGTAAAGTCAGTTGTAATGATTCTTCATGTGCATTAGAGCTGACGCCTCGATGGGTTTCCCTCAGATTTGATTCAAATGGTCAGTGGATCTCGAAGATGAACGTTTTTGATTAGTTGTCAATTGGATTTAGATTAAATCAGATTAACAGATTCGATTTCAGTGGTCACAGGTAAATTCCATGTGTCCTGAACCTGCCGGAGGTGAACAACTACAGAGCACAAGGTATAAATAAAGTGAAACATTGTGCTGTGGCCCTTCGAGCTCTTAAAATGAGATTAGTGTGGATTTTCTTTAATCAGAATCAGAAATGACTCACAGTTAAAGAGCTGCAGTTTACAGGAAGGTTTCTAATGACCTGATGACGGATTCACATTTACTGTGACCTTAAGAAACCAACAAACATCCTGATCGTGTGTGTGTGTGTGCGTGTGTGTGTGTGTGTGTGTATTGACTCAGATGAAAAGTGAGTCGTCTCTCATGTGATTGTATTGAAGGTCATTTGGGCTCCTCACTGAGTCATCGTCCCTCCTCGTCCTCCTCTTCCTCCTGTCTTGTCATCTTGTATTTGAATTGATCAGAACATTTTTACCTCTAACTCAGATTTGCGCTGCTTTCATAGACCTGTCTCCAGTCTGTGTTGTTGTTTCTCAGAAAACTCAGTGACGCAAGAAAATGTATTATTAGTAAAAACCCCGTTGTGAGGAATCTCAGTCGAAGATCAGCAGAAGTCTGGTGATGCAGCAGGAGCATAATTGTGAACTTTGAAATAAATCTACGACAGATGAAGAGAATCAGCCTTTTGCACAATCGGAGACCAGATCAGTCGATGCGCTGCGTAACCCGCACCATGAATGTTTAATGAGCGCGTTCAATAAAGACACTAAACATTATAAATGTGAGTGTGTTATCAGCTTAAGCACATTGTGTTTGTCTGCTCCTGTGGTTGAGATGAAGTTCAGGGATTCACACAGAGGTTTTTATACTGTTTCTAACCAGCCTGTCAAGAGAAAGAGACGTGGGAGGCACGAGAGAGAGAAAATCCATCCATGACATGAATCAGCCCTTTAATGAAGATGAGAGAACATGACAAAACACAAAGAGCACACACACACACACACACACACACACACACACACACACACACACACACACAAAGACAGCTATCGAAACAAAGAGGCTTTCTGTAAAGACCTGCTGCAGACGCATCCACTCTGAAGGACTCCACTGTACTCTCTGCATGTGTGTGTGTGTGTGTGTGTGTGTCTGTGTGTGTGTGTGTTACAGCCGATGGTGAACAATCGAGTGGACAGTGTGGTATGTACGTGTAATTGAGAATGTATAGGCTGCACACAGTTCACACACATACTGTCTTTGTGCAGAGCGTCCAGAGACTGGAATGTGACCGGTATAAAAAGGCCGCGGACCCTGTTTATCCTCCTCGGGCCCCTTTTTCTTTTTTTTCCTCTCCTGATTCCGTCCTCCTCCTTTTTACATTTTTCTTCATCTCTGCGTTTCCTTCTGTCTCTTGTTCCTGCTCCTCATCTCTCGTCCTTTCTGCCCTCGGGACATGAGAACATCCATTGACAGAGAAAGGCACAATAGTTTTTGTGTGTGTGTGTGTGTGTGTGTGTGTGTGTGTGTGTGTGTGTGTGTGTGTGTGTGTGTGTGTGTTTAAATCTCCACAGTAACCAGAGATGCTTTAACCCAGAGGCATGACATCATATCAGCAGAGTTACCACACATAGGCCTGTGTCATACATTATAATTATAAAGTTTACACAGAGGGAAAAATGCACATTGCTTCAAAAGGGTTCAAACAAAGTTGGTTTCATGAACTTAACGAAACCCCTCAATCTTTATCGCTGTTGTTTATTTTCTAGTTTTATTTCCATCTCTTGATATAATCCAGGAGCATTGTTATATTTATATTGTTATCGTCTCTCCCTCTTAGTGGTGATGGCCCCATGATGATAGTCAACTGGTTATATCCAGTATGTTTCTGTGTTTCATTGTTTTATTGATGGTATGTCAAACAAAGTTAAAGATACAAATTCAAATATTAAATTATTTTTAAAAAGTTAAATTAGTTTTTCACTGTCATTAACTTCACGGTAGCTTCTGTTGTGTTTAAACTTTACTTTTAAAGGTAAAAACATGTATACGTGTTTTGTTTATTAATCATTAATCCAGATGTTGTAAAATGTTTTCAGGCGATGGAGAGCAAGCTGCTGGTCGGAGGAAAGAACATCATCGATCACACCAACGAGCAGCAGAAGATGCTGGAGATGAAGCAGCAGGAGATCGCTGACCAGGTAAACCTGTGTGTGTGTTTCTGTACTCTTATAGGAGGAGGTTATTATTATTAGAGTTCTCTCCCGATGTTTTATTCAGACCCTTCTGCTCCTTGTTGTTGTTGTTGAACTTAGAGCTGACGTGTTCATTCTTTCAGACTCGTACGGAGAGGGAGATGCAGCAGCAGATGTTCGTCCAGGACGAGGAGACGGTGGAGCTGAGGGAGACTTTCACTTCTCTGCAGCAGGAGGTGGAGGCCAAGACCAAGAAACTCAAGAAGGTAAAATATCTGCAGCTTTATGTACAAAAGGCTTGCACACACACACACACACACACACACACACACACACACACACCTTCCTTTTATGTTCCTAATGTGAGTATATCCCTCTTTTATCCCCCGAACCCCTGAACTTTGACCTGGACCCTAATGACCCTCTGCCTCGGACTCGTGCTCCGTACGGACACACACTAAAATTTCAGTACCTGAAGGTTTGTCCTGCCGTCCCCTCCTCTCTCCTGGACCTCCCCCTCCCTCCGTACGTCTGTCTGTGTGTATTTCACTCTCCGTTCATGCTTTCCACGCTGATCCCCTGTTTCCCCCTCGCTGGTCAAATTTTTCAGGAGCTCTCAATGTGTCGCACATTGAAATCCATCAGTGCACAAACCCTTAAACTCCACATTCCAAACGCTTCCCCGCTCTTCTGGCTCCCCGACCCTGCCGGCAGGACTAACCCCAGACAACCCCTGGTGTGAGTGTGGATGACGATGTGACTAATGATCCCGTGTTGATTTTTTTGTGCATCTGATGCCCTAACGCCACATGTCTGCCCCCCCCCCCACTCTTCTTCCACTGCATGGTGTTGTCACTCGGAGGAAAAGAAGGAGAATGAAACGTAGAGTTTTTTTTACAGCTCAGGCCTGAGACGCTCAGAGACGAGAGGAACGTTAAGGTCGTCAATGAGCTTGTTTGCAAATGAATCTGGTCACTGATAAACCTTGTTGTGATTATCTGTTTTTAAAAACCAATCAGATTTCTACGAGTCCTTATTGAAGGAAAAGATTCACAATTAAAACAAATCCTGAGCTTCAGTTTTTCAGTGTTTTTTTTTTAAAACATCTCATAAAAAGAGGTTTGGACCGTCTGCTTCTTAAAGGTCACAGTGTCTTTTCCCACTGGTCATACTCCAATTCAATCTGAATGAAAGTGTTCTTGAGCTGCAGCGTCCTCTTTAAGACCAGGAAATCAGGATTAAACCACTTGTGTGACGCGCCATATATTCAGTCACGGGTGAGGTGAAAGAACGATCACTATGAAAGCTCCGGAGCGCTGCTGGAAAGAGGAGGAGCGAGCTGGAAGGAGGGAGAGCTGCCATGTTTCCGTGCTCCCGCTGGCCGCACGTTTCTCCAGTCACCAGTGGCTCCAGTGCTGTTGCCACGGGCAACCAAGCTGCAGCGAACTGGAGACCAGTTCACCGGCGACATCTCTCGTCCTCACCCTCTCTGCTTGTCTCCCTCTCTCTCTCTCTCTCTCTTCTCGTAGCTGTACGCCAAGCTCCAGTGCATCAAAGCAGAGATCCAGGACGTGAACGACGAGCACGTGAGGAGCCGACAGGAGCTGGAACAAACTCAGAACGAGCTCACAAGAGAGCTCAAGTTCAAGTGAGTGGAGCGAGCGAGCATCGAGTTAAACTGGATTATAGGAAAAAAAAGCATAAAAGTGCAGATGCTGTGACTTTTCCCCACATTTATAAAATTCCCCGACGTTCTCTCCCTCGTTTTCAAATGTTCAAGCGTGATGGTGATGATGATGTTCAGCCTGTGACCAGTGAAGACGTGCTGCTGCTGTGTTGTTCCTGCAGGTATCTGATCATAGAGAACTTCATTCCTCCAGAGGAGAAGAATAAGATCATGAACAGACTGACCTTTGACCCCGAGGAGGATCAGTGGAAGTTTCAGCCGCTCGTTCCTGCTGAAAGGTCGGTTTGATTTAAATACCGGGGGCTCGGTGTTTTCCATCAGTGGCCTGAGGTCAAACTTAACGAGCTCAGATTGTGGTGGTTTGGGGTCAAAGGTCACGACCCGTCCTTAACCCCCCCCCCACTGGAAGACTTTTTAAAATCCTTTCTCACCATCTTTTGTAGAAACTGGTTTGATGTGACAACATTGATTTCTAATAGATTTTTTTTTCTCATCGATTCCTCCGCCTCTGTCTTTGTTCAGTAAATCCTCTCAGATGAAGAAGAGGCCGTCGTCTGCGGTCGGATACAAACGACCCATCAGCCAGTACGCCAGGGTTGCCATAGCGATGGGAGTCCATTCCAGATACAGGGTAGGTGTCTCTGTGTGTGTGTGTGTAGTTTATATACCATATGGACTGTAAATAAAGATGGACGACGTGTCTCCGCTTCCTCCCGCAATCCGGAAATGGAGCCATCTTGCACCGATGACATCATTTAATGTGCTCGGAAAACGAAACTTACAGGAAAAATGAAAATGTGATAAGAACCACCAAAGTGTGTTTACCATGTTGCCCCCTCTGCTAACACGGAGGAGCCAGGGTTAATGACCTTTACTGCAGCCCTGACCCTCTGTCGTCTGTTCAGGCTGAGAACATCATGTTTCTGGAGCTGGACATGACTCCTCCGAACACGGCCTCGCTGGGTCGTTCCAAGGAGCCGAACCAAAGCACCTCTGTGGACAACTCGCCCACCAAGGACCGGGGCGTCCGCAAGTCTCGCTCCTGGTGAGACGAACCCCCCCGATGACTTCTTCTAATATCGTAGTTTCTAATGTAGTGCACGCATGTTTCGTTCCTTTGTATTCGGGGAAATATCTTTTGCTGCTCATCCTGTATCTTATGGATGTAAATGGTTTAGAGTCGATGCATCTTTAAACGGGATTATTCAGGATTAGCCACACCCTCTCTGCGTGGTCCTAATCTGAAGGTTTATATCCTCTTTTTTTCTGTAATCTCACTAATGTGGAATAATCTCATCAACCTGCGTCTACGCTCCATGTGAAGACAGCGATTTGACTGAATCTGCCGTTTCAGCTCACTTTTGAATTCTTCTTTTTCCCTTTGCAGGTGTCAGACGCCGAAATCCATCACTTCCTCCTCGTCTAACGTTTCCTTGGCGGTGTGTCACACTGCCACACCCACGGCGGCACAGTAAAGCTTTAGTGAAGAGGCTTTAGTGGGTTTTTTTCACCGTTTATTTATTTCATTCTTCTGCTTCCTCCTGCTGATTTTCCTCAGAAACATTTCTCAGCGAGGCCCACAGCTGGGATACAAGCACACGCCACGACCTCTGCTGAATCCCGAGAGGTCATAGGCTTTTAACGGGTCGCTAATAAAGGAGTGACCTCCTGACGGGAAACTAAATGATCTCAGAAACTCTATAAAACATCAGTTCCTCCTGTTCTACGGATGTAAAGACTTCTCCTCCTTCGTCCCTGCATGTTTGGGACCAAGAGCCTTGGATTATCTTTTAAAACATCTGGCTGCAGAGTTGTTCTGCCCAGACTGGTGTGTATGAGTGTGTTGTGCATACAGGGCTGTATGATTGTCTGTTTGTGTTTCTAATTGTGACCAGTTCAGATCTGCGAGCTCACAAACTGCTTGACTCCCCCTGTAGAATATCAATCTGTAAATCTTTCATGTATTAGTTTTTTTCCTTCCTTACTTGGGTCTGAATCCGTCGTCCGCTCCCTTCGGAGTGTGTGTCTGTGTTGAGCACGTTAGAAGATAATGATAGAACATTTGAAATGTGCTGTTGTTGGTCAGATGAGGTACGGTGAAGCCTGAATGATGACCTTCATCATTATACCTGTTGTCTCACATCATTGTTTTTGCCTTATGAACATTTAAATTCTGTAGATTCGGAATTTCTATTTGGATCTGGAGTCCACTGAAGATATTTATTTATTCATCAAGATTCATACATTTTAAATCAGAGTAATTGTCTAATGCCTGATGCAATGTTAAAGAAAAAGATTCCTGAATCCTCCCCCTGAACTGGGACTGCGCCAAAATCGAATGGCTTCTTCCCCGACCCATCCCTCCACCAACTTCTGTGTTAATCCTTCTATTGGTTTTCCTGGAATCCTGCTAAAGACGAACAAAACGAGACGAAAACAGACACAGACGTCGAACTGTTTCTGTAAAATACACGAATGGCTGCTGCGATAAGAAAGTCAGTCAAAGCTGTCGCCTGTTTGCTGCAGGTGGACGGAGAGAGTTCATTGTTTTCTTCATGGAGGTGAAGAGGAGCAGACAGTGGGGGGCACGGATCATCACTGTATTATTGATGCTTCAGATCCTGTTGCAGCTGAACCCCCTGCAAAGTGCAAGAGAGCACACAGTCGTCCTCCAGTCAAACTACATTTATCCCCAGTGAGACTGAAACTTTCACATCTTTATTACGCGTCATCGTCGTCCTGTGTGTTTCGAAATGTTTTTTTTAATCCAAAAATCAAACCATATCATTTATTATGTGTGATGATATGACAGAAGAGTGAATTTGACTGTCAGTCCTGGATCCTGTCACTCCCTGTATCTTGCTCGCACATCTTCATTACGGCTCAATCACTCATTGGAAGCACAAATTGTAAAACAAAAAGAAATATCTCAAAATTTGCCAGAAATGTTGGTGATGTTTTAAAATTACTTGTTTTTTTCCGACCAAAACCCAAAGATGTAAAAAAAAAAACACAGAAAACTCTTTGTTTTGGTCAAATTTATCATCAGATGTTGTCTTGATTGAAATCTACCTCCGTCTTCGACTTTTACTGACTGACACTGAGGATTTTATGTTTATCTTCATGAATAATCCAGAACAGACAGGATCTGAAGTTAAAACAATGATATTCAAGCAAAATATAAAAAAAAGCCATCGTGTATACGATGCTGAAAACATCTAATTTAAATGTTTAAATCAGTAAATTATTTATTCGCACTGTGTCGCCTCTATTGTGATATTCAATTATGTTCTAAATTTAACTAATGGCAGTTTCTGATGTAAGAACATTTTTGTCATATTATTCAGTAAAAAAAAAAAAAAAAATCCATGTACGTTTCCCATCTGTGTCAGGGCCTGTGTGAGGACTGTGGGGGTGGGGCGGAGGGAGGGTGCTGCTGATGGAAAGAGAGAGGGGGGTGGGGGGGAATGGAAGGATGCAGGAATCCAGAGACACAATCAGGAAGTGACTGTGGAGGAGCCTGTTTCCATGGTAACCTGCAAAGGGTGTTGGGATGGGGGAGATGCTGGGTTGGGTGGGTCGGGGGGCGTCTCTCTCTCTCTCTCTATATATATATATATGTATGTATGTAACATGGGGGGCCGGTGGGGCTGAAAAAAAAATATAATAAAGACATTGTCACAGCTGCTGCTGCTCCGTCAGTCGTGTTCACTCAACTGAAGAAGAGCCGGTGGTTTAAAATAAAGAAATTCATAATGAGCTTTGTTTTCCAAAAGAACAGGACCAAGAAAGAACTGTCATATCTGTGAGTGTGTTATTTGGTGCAGCTTGATTGACTTTAACGGACTTTGAGATTCAAGCTTCAGAACTAATTTGGCTGATGAGAGCTTTTTATTTAGTCTGTGGTTGAGATGCATGAAGGGCAACAGTCAGTGGATCCTGTCTGGACAGGGGGCGCCCTCTGCTGTGAGAGGAGGAGAAGACAGCTGCCTCACCACACACTTACTGTACCAGATTGAATTACTGCATACTGCCCAGCTATAGAGGTCAAATACTGTGTAGTACAGTTAATCATAGTGTACCTGCTGGGACTGCAAAAATAAATTAATACTGTATTGAACAGCAAAAAAACATTTATAATAATATTTATTACATTTTCTTTTAAAGGTTTTACTCATATTACAATTTCAAGACATTACAGGGAATTTATTCTTAGATTTCACATCCCTGACACTATGGATCTTGCAGTGGGTAATATACGACTACACTTCTTATACAACAACGTTAATACTCTGATGGACACTGTTCGCAGTACTTTTACTCCTGTGTGACTTGAGCAATGTAATTCAACAGAGGAACCTTATTAAAACGAGAGGGAAACTCACACCTGAGCTCCTGAACCGGACTCAGGAAGGTCACGTTGGTCTTGTTCAGCCACGTCACAAAACTCTTCAGGTCGACGTCGCAGTGGAATCGGTTCATTTTCAGGTCGAGGAGGCGGAGGGAGCGGAAAGCGTCGGGGTCAGGGGAGGCTATGAAGTTGTTGGAAAGGTCGAGCACTTCCAGAGTTCTGGGTAACACGTCCGGGCGGAGATACGTCAAGGAGTTGGACGAGAGGTCCATCTGGACTACTGAGGTGAGACCCTTGAAGATTCCTTGGGGAAGAGATCGCAGAGCATTCAAGCTCAAGTTGATGTCGATCACTCGTCCGAGTTTGTCAAAGAGATTCAGACATTCGCCCTGAGCCCAGACCGACTGCAGGGAGCTCCTGTGAAGGTCCAGCACCTGGAGATCATTGGGACCAACTTGTGCACTGAGCGTACACCCTCTGAATGAGTTTCCTCCATAGGAGAGCTGCTGCAGGCGTTTCAGCCGAGTCAAAAAGGTGTAAACATTTGCTAAGTTTATGAATCTATTGTCCTTAATGTCCAAATGCACAACATTATGGGCAAACTCAGTGATACTCCTCACTGATGAGTGTATCAACCGGTTGTCACTCAACAGGAGATGATCTAAACGTGGCAGCGCTGCAGGGAAACCTAACTCCCGCAGAGCGTTCCCTGTCAGACTCAACACTTCCAGCTTGGGAAGTCCACGGAACGCACCGTAACCCAGAGCACCGATGTGATTGTAAGACAAGTCCAACACTCGCAGGTTCGACAGAGAAGCAAACGTGTGAGAGTAGATTTCCCCGAGCAGATTGTGCGACAGGTTGAGTGAAGCTAAATGACCCTGAAGACCTTCGAAGGCATTTCTGTTGATCTGATTCACTCTGTTTTGGGAAACGTCAATATTCACCACGTCTCTCAGTGGACTGAAGACCCCCTGCTGCAGAGCAAATATCCAGCTTTTAGACAGATCCAAAGTGAGGACCGAACTGTTCCTCAGGCCGGCGAACGTGCTGCGATCCGGATCGGGGAGATTCTTGAATGAAAAGCTTCTACCCATGTGTCCTGACAGTTTGAGGTGGGAGATCTTCGTCCCCTCTATGGCTCTGAGAAACTGTCTCGACCTGTTCACGTTGAACCCGTTGTGGGACAAGTCGAGTGTCTGGAAGGACATTCCCCTGAAAGGGTTCCCACATTCCTGCCAGTCAAATCTGTCAGTAAACATCGCTCTGAGGTGAACAGAGTCCAAGTTCAGGGCCTTGAAGTGCTTCCCCTGGAAACCCACCAGATCTGATTCACATATTCGATCGATTCTGTTCAGTTTGAGATTCACATCTTTCAAATTACTCATGTTGGCAAAGAACGCAGAAGGCTGGAGTCTCTTTATGTGGTTTCCAAAGAGGTCCAGAGTCTCCAGAGAGGACAGCGGCTGCAGAAAGTTTTCCTTCAGTATGGACTCATTGAGCGAGCAGTAACCCAGGTCGAGCTTCTGTAAACTGGACAGTCCCACGAAGGCCTCGGGCTCCAGTTGAAGGCCGACGTTGGAGTCGATCATCAGCTTCCTCAGGCGACTCTGTCTGCCGAAGGCGTTGTTTCTGATCAAAAGCGGCACAAACTGTCGTCCCAGGTCCAGCTGCTGCAGCCGCTCGAGGCCCGACAGGGAGGTGGAGTTAATCTCCCCGATGTGGTTCATCTCCAGGAACAGGTGGGTGATGTGAGGAGGGAGAGCAGGAACTGATTTGAGGTTCTTCAAGGCGCAGTTTGCTACAGAGCCAATGATGAGGCATGATGGGAAACACGCTGGCATCTGCAAGTGGAAATTTAAGGAGATGCTTAGATTTGATGACAATTTATTTAATTTATTTTTTTAGTTTGATGTATTCTAGTTTAAAGACCTTTCAATAATAACATTTTCTGTAATGATGATGCACATTTTTCAAACAAAACTACTGTAAAGTAATTGAATATATATATAATAATATTGTTCTTTGAAACATGCACACAAAATGTCAGAAAACAAATCAAATTGCAAAGAATTTTTACGAATTATGTTTTTTTAAATAAACGAAATGTCTCAGACACAAAAACTGTTTTCATTAGTTAGTCTAATCTAATCTAATCTAAATATTTTAAATTATCTGTTGCACTTTGTTTCTCTCTAAAAGGGTTTTATTTCCTCTATTTCACTTCAAATGTATTATGTGTAAAATATTAGTTAAAACACAGCACTTGGTAAAATTTCATTGAATCATTCTGTAAGTTAACTTACCTGCAGGAACACACAGATGGTAACCAGCTGGAGAAACAGCCTCCACATCCTCAGACAGCTTCCACGTCAAACCTTCTTCTCTGAGCTGAACGTATGATCTCGTCTCTGCTGCGTTACAACCAGATCACCTCTGCACAGATTTCTGTCAGACGCGTTTTTATCTGCTGTGTTTGCGTCACTTGTGTTGAGCAGCACATCATTGACCCCACAGCACAAACATGACGCTGAGCGGGACTTCCCTCTTTTTTTATCCTGCAGATTCCAGATTTACATGACATGGGGAAGTACATTCACACTGTGTTCTTTTATTGCTATATATGTTTTGTTGTTGTGAACTGGGTTAACACTGGTTTGCACAACTGGCTCTTTTTAAAAATCCAGGTTTAATGTTGATTTATGTTTTATAGACTTTTCTTAATTGGTGCAATGGTATGACATTGAAATACTATTGTTAATCAATAGTTACCATTTACTATAAGCTTTAAAATATCAATATTTTCAAATCAAATGTATTTAAATACATTTTGAGGTACTTTACTTAAGAATTTTGGATTTAGGCCTACGCCACTTTAATGTCGTACTCAACAATCAAGAGGGAAATATTCTAAGTATCTACTAGTGCAGGAGTATGAGAGGACTTGTGGGTAATACTCAGTCACTTAAGTAATGACTGCGGGACTTGTACTATGATACAGCTACAGTATTTTTCAGTTCATTGAATACTGCAGTTCTTCATCTACCACTTCGTTCTGTATTCCACTGAGATAATTAATGATTCATTGGCATAAAAGTCACTTTTAAACTTCAATCGACTTATCAAATAGCTCTAAAAGTTTCATTTAACATTCATTTCAAATCAGCCTGAAACAGTGCAAACAGGGGAGTGTGCAGTGTTTTATCACACGGTGCTGCTGAATTTCACAACCTCTGTAGAATGTTTGTGAAACACGAGGAAGAGAGGAAGAGAAACAGAGGTCGAGGGTGAGTCACACTGTGGAAGTAATGTTATAGTACTGAAAACTGTGAGTTATACTATTGTGACCGACGCAAATTGTAATCAGAAGTAAGGTAATGGGAGTATGTTTACTTAAGTTGCACAGAGTTTTGCTTGAATATTTCTACTTCTTTTACAGAGGAAAGTAGAAAATTTCAGCGAAGACTCAAAACACCACGACAATGATGAACTATCAAGAGACAAAATACAACAAAGACTCAAAAACAAATACAAATATGCAAGAAGAAAAAAAAGGCTTATAAGAGACTCAATAAAATGAACCTTCTGATGTGACTTTGTCTCTTTCTGTTGGGGTGTCCAGCGCCTGAATGCTGGGGGGGCCCTTTTCCACGTCTGCGCCCGGGGCCTGGTTTTCTCCTGATCCGCCCATGGTCATGCTGAAGTTGAAATAAATAAATAAAGATAAATAAAGATAAATGATAAAGTTAATTTCAAGCAGCCAAGTTGGACAAACTTCTATCAGAACTGAAACCAGTGAGCAGCGTACACATGGGGGGGCGGGGAGGAGGAGGAAGAGGAGGAGGAGGAGGAGGGCGGACCAAGGAGGCAGAGCGACTCGTTTCAAAAATACTTCCCGTCATCACAGCAGCAGAACCCGGGCTCAGAGCACCGAGGAGAGGCGGCGGGGCACCGAGGGGAGAGAAGCATGGTTCCCACGCGGATATAGCTATAACAGGCCCGGGACAGGGTGGGGGCGGGGGGGGGGAGGACATTCGCGAGACACGGAGAGGGAAGACAAAGTCAGTGACACACGCTCCGGTGTTGATGTGTTTGAATACCTGCGGAGAACCGTCCCGGTGAGTAGAGCCCCGGAGATCTGCCCGTTTACTCTGCCGCTCACGAGCTAAACGGAAAAGTTAGTTTGACGTTGGGTTGTTTGTTTTTTTTTTGTTGAACGTGAAAGAAGTTTGAAGAGGGTTCGAGTCCTCAGTGGTTCGAGGGGGAACAAGGTGAACAGGGAGTTAAAACTTTTCTGCAACATGGCCGCTCAGATGTCACACAGCTTCCCAGAAGGAGGCAGAGCTAAGAGAAGAAGAAGAAGAAGAAGGAGAAGGAGGTTGTGAGTTTTTAAATGAAAAGGAAACTCAACGCTTCAGAAGAATCTCTGAGTCTTAGAATTAAATAAAATCTCCTCTGAGCTGTTGTCCCTCCCAGTGTTCAGTCATAGATCAAAAACTAATCTCCTCCTCCACGCTCCATTCAAAAATATGGCGATTGTACTTTGCCACACGTATTCCCCAGACACACAAGTGATACTCAGCGTCATTGTGCACTTTTTTCAAATCGCCACAGTCCACTGTTAAATTCGGCTCATTGCATGTTAAGGATTTCATTAGGTTTTAATTGCATGTACATGTATGCATCAAGGTGAATGGAAACTTAAAGTGTCCAGAAAAGACAGATTTAATGTTTTAATTTAAAAATGTCAAATGTGTTGTCGTCCCTCTCAGAGTTAAGCCGTAAATTGTGCCCACTTTTCAACTCAAAATGATATTCTTCTGTGGGAGGAACCACACTCCATTCATAAATATGGCGATTTTACGTTACCAAGTGTTGGTAAACATAAATATAACCTTTTTTTTTTACAATCACTTCAGTCTCAGGTACATGTACATACAATTACAATGCAACAAGCTGAATGGAAGCAGATGTGGGGGGGGGGATTGCTGGGACAAGTCTTAGGGGTAATTAATAATTCCATCCTGACATCCTGGTTGAATAAATCTTATTTCACTTCACGGAATCATCAGCGGTCTCATTATTAAATCGTCATCTGACCCGTGGGGTCAACTGAAATAATTTCTCACACCACAACCTGCCAGAAGGTGTTAGCGGAGACGGCCCAGGCGTTTGTGTGGCTGCAGCAGTACCACGGCTCCACCTCCGAAACCCTATACCCCCTGAAATGTGTTAAAGCATGTACAGTCAGTGCAGATACTGAAACAGGGTGAACTCTGTCTTCTGTCCATTTGTACATAAAACTCATAAAAGTTTGTTTCCATACGCATTAGGAGCTAGTATCCATTCACGTGACCAATGGCGAGTCATTCTCAGCTGTCGATCATAAAACCGCACAGAGTCGTTCTTCTTAATTGTGTACTCAGGCAGTTTTTGAACTTTTCCAAACTGTCGCTCCCTGTGGAGGAAGCTACAAAGAGAGGGATGACACAAAGAGTGCGAGATAACTGGAACTGATGAGCTGTCCTCTTGAGACCGCAACTTTTTCCCCTTGTCGCAGCATCTCGTGCACTCAAAGCGATTCGCCGGGTGATTCGTTTACATCTTGAACGAGACTAAACGAGAGAGGAAACGAGAAATGATTCGCCCCACTTTTCCTGGCATTCCCCCTCCTGCTTGTGATAACCAGGTATAAAGCGCTAGGCCTCGTGTTTCACCTGTACACGTTACCTGCAGCAGTTTCTAATCACCACCCACCTACTCTCTGCCCTTTTCATCTCAGCGTCTCCATATGGAAATGTTTTAGAGGACGCTGAGTTACAGTAGTGCTGAATTGTGTTGCTGTCTCCACTACGGGTGAGGAGATAATAGCTGTGAGGGCGAAACCTATAATTAGAAGCAGCCATTCCTATCCAGCCACTAGTTTATATAATTTCTTGAGAATTAAATTATAGTGTAATTTAAGTATTCTTTTATTTTGCATGTGAGAGCAGTTGGATGGCCCTGCAACACTTCTGGCGACCTCAGAGCTCTCCGTTCGTTCACTGAGGTTAATTCTCAGATGGCTCGGAGCGTTGCAGTAAAACGCAGCGTAACGACAGGCTGCTTATCTTTCAGCACAGATTCCCCAGTTATGTCATAGCTTTGTTTGAGTAAGACCTTGTTTTGGACGCCTGCAAAGGTTTACCAAGGACGCTGATAACTCTGTGGGCCTTGCAGTCTGTCTGTTCCTTAATAGAGCTCGAAAAATTTGGGGATTTTTGCAAGTAGCACATTCAGATATTTCACTTCCTGTCGCTTTCCCCATCTTAGCATCTGACTCTCTCATTCCTTCTGGAATCTTAGTACATCCAGATTCTTCTTCATGTCTGAACATCTTTATCTTCTTTCCCTGCTGTTTTTCTTCTCTATCTATTTTCTTTCCCTCATTCTTTCTTTGCAACCAGCATAACCACCACAGATGGCACCCTCACCACCGAAACGCCAGATTACCAGTCGAAGATAAAATCCTAAACCTGACGTACTCACAGTCACAGATTTAAGTGTACGTGTAAATATGAATGGAGATGAATCTGATAATGAGTAAATGATAAGATTGTGACACGTCTCTGCAGCTTTAGGTACTGAGAAGGAAAACTGTGTTGTTGTAAAACAAAGCAAGACACTGTTTGTGGAGGCATGCAGCTTCAGGTATCAGTGAGACTATGAAACATGATCCATGAAGGATGGTTTGAGAAGCAGGTCCATGAGTGTGACGGATTATCGCGAGCAAAATCACTTGAAAATGTAAAAATAAGACGACACAGGATGATTATACAACCCTGTAAAGTTAAAGTTAGTTTCACAACAGTTGCAAAATTTGTACTGTTCTGAGAATCAACCAGGAGCACGGGCTTGCATGTATTTTATTGGCTAATGCAGAGTCTGGCTAGGCGACATCGTGTTGTGTCGTAGCGAAAGTTAGTCGGGTTCTTGAATTATCTTGATCACCCCCTGGTGGCTGGCTGCAGTACAGGGCATTAAACCTGCCTCCTCCATGTTAACGCAGGTTGGAGGAAGTTGTTATCGCACTGATACCTGATTAAACGTCATGATCGACAGCTGAGACTGACTCACGATTGGTTGGACTTCCTGACCAGTCCTCCAGACTTCTCTGTGGCATGCTAGCTGTCCAGCTTTAAAAAAAAGTGTAACCAGATATGAGTTGCTTCTGTTTTTACCTGCATGGTGACACCCCTGGAGGCATGCAGGGTCAGCCGGGGTGTCTCTGTGGCAGCACAGGGTTCAAGGGTCGGGAGGCAGAGATATCGGGGGTTTTGCTTTCAGTTCAACCTGCGTGTAGGGGTCAGAATTACAGGTGTTGCTCTGTGGTAGAGAGGCATTTTTTAATGTCAGTGAGGTTTTTAACGAGGCTCAACCAACGAACATGTAGCTGTTACAGAGCTTTAGTTTGATAGTTTAATCAACAGTCTTGAAATTCGACCTCTTAAATACGAAAATATTGAACGACTTTGCTTTTCCACCAAATTTATTCTTCATCTTGTGTTTCAAGTTTTCAATATATTTTTTGAGTCCAGCTGCTTAAATGTGACACCTTTATTCTTTGTCCGACTCTGACTGATGTTAAATGTTATAAAAAAATAGTCATGGACCATTATCTCCTTTTTTTCTGAGGAACAATTCATCAGTTAGTTGAAGTACCTGACATTTTTATACATTTTGAAATCCAATTCTTGGGTTTTACTGGGAATGCATCAGTAAAACTACACATGCTGCTACTGTTTCAAAGAGATCTTTGTCCAGGGCAGCAGCAGCATTGGAATTAAGTTAAAGACCAATAATCAATCACATAATGTCACCGGTCTTCATTGGATTCGATCTGATTTAACAACATTCCCTCTAAAACTTTCCAGCTCTTTGTTAAACACCACAACAACATCTCATTTCATTTGGTCTCCACTATGTCTGAAATGTTTGAGGCCAAACCACCGGTGATGCTCTCAGCTCAACAATGTGCATCAACTTCCAAATTTCTCAATTTCCTGAATCCCTCAAAACTAAGTTAGACATTTTCTGCAGAGCTTTGTGGGATTGTTTGGTGTGTTACAGTAATCGAGGTCGTTTTGAGGATAAATGGAGCTCACAACTTTTCCAGCAACGACAGTGTCTAAAGTTGTCGACTGTAAATATATATATAACACACACGCTCACACACACACACACACACACACTGGTCGCGTCCTGTCAGGGCAGATTTTGAGAACACAGAGCAGCTGGAAGTGGTGATGTGGTCATGTGGCATGCATGGTGCGTGTGGGGTGTGCAGGGGGTGGTAAACACCCTCTTACCCCTCTTTGGTACCAGCTTGCCTGCCTGAGGCACGTCCCTTTGTCAGTTTCTTCTTCTTCTTCTTCTTCTGCCGCCTCACTCGTGAACATTTAGTTCGTGGATTCACCCACAACCACCCAGAACGAACGCTGAGGTAATTTTCTTCTACAAATTCACACCTACAGTGATTCAGACCGAGAGCAAGTGATTTCTATGAACAGGTGTGTGTGTGAGAGAGAGGGAGAGAGCGTGATGTGATGTTTGTGGGACGGAGGATTGTGTGTTCCTCAGGTGTTGGGGCTGCACGAGTTACACCAGGGTTCCGAGGAGTTTCTTAAGAGTGTGTGTGAGGGCTTTGTGTGTGTGTCTGTGTGTGTGGTTTGCGTGTGTGTGTGGTTTTTGCACAGGTGCACGAGTTGGGTGGCCTGCACTGATGCAACCCCCCCCCCCAAAAAAAACCCCTCGACTAAGAAGAGAGAAAAAGTAAATGTTTGTGAGACTGACAATAATATTTGTCTTCTAGTCATTCGTGATTACTTGTGTTTGTGTGTGTGTGTGACACGACTGTGGTGTGGGAATATAAAAGTTTCTCGAGCTTTAACGATCTGTTGATTAT